GAGGCTGAGGTCTTGGGCTGAGATCCTGGGGGCCTGAGCCTCTGGGGGTCTTTCACAACTTGTCAACAGAGAAAGAAAAATGTAAACAAAGCCCAAGCCATCCACCATGGTGTGGAGTCCTGCCTGAGGAGGAGAATCAGGAAGACAGACATCCTCTCCCTCACATCTTCCTGTCTCCCATTCAGCAGACTCATATCCTTCTCTCTCTTTCCACAAAGCAGTCACTGCTCAAAGGTGACGGGAAGCCCTCTTTGAACCAGGGGGTGTGCTTTTGCCACCACAGAGAGAGAAGCTGGCAAATGGGGCGTGATGAGGAATGTACTGTGTATGTTCATCTTATTGATTATTGAATAAAGTACTTATTTGGCCAATGAGACAGCAAGTTAGACAGGACTAGGAGTCAAAGAAGATTCTGGGAAATGTAGTAGAGAAGTGGTGATCCAGGCAGGAAGTGGCATAGCAAGGAGACTCATATTTAAGCAAGGAGAAACAGGAAGTGCCCCCTTTCCCCTCCGCTCTTCCTCCAGTGGCGCCATGTGATTCACCATCAAGAGAGGGTGCCAGCGGAAGGCATCCTCTATAAGTCTTATAAAATATATAGATTTATGATAATTAAGACTGAGCTAACAGATGAGAATCCTAGTCATTGGCCAAACAGCATTTGAACCTAATGCAAGTCTCTCTGTGTATTAATTTGCGCCCTAACTTGGGCGGGCAGCTGGCGTAAGCGCACTTGTGGCAGTGGCTCAGAGGCTTTTGGCAGAAAGATTTATCGTAACAGGGGCGTGCAGTAATGATTTCCTTTTGGCTGATCATATTTGGAAGCATTCCAAGTGCAGCAAACCTTTATCTAGAAGATGTTAAGATACAACTGAAGGGACCAACCCCCCCCCCCCCCCCCCCCCCCGTTTTAGCAGCCATGATAGGCTAACATGTGCTTGCCTGATCTTGCCCCTCCTGCCCTGGTCACTAGGAGGTCAGATGCCCTCCTTGTGGCAAGGAACCAATCAGAAGTTTGCTGGCGGGGCTATGTTTTACGGCTCTGGGTGTGCTTTACAGACAAGTGCATAACAGTGATGTGCAGAGCATAGCAACCACCCTGGGAGGGCCTATGGTCCATAACAACCACTTGACCAATCAACCCAGGGCAGGTCATCCAAGCCTAGGAGTGCACCAATCCTAAGACTGTTGCATACCCCTTGACATTACCCTTACACTGCCCCATAAGATCTCTGCCTTGTGGTTTCTGGAATCTTTCTCCAGCAATCTGCCATGGTGGAAGGATGAAAGGCCAGAGCTAATGGGGTTAAGCTCGTTAAACAACTGCAATAAAAGACTCTTTGCTTTTGCATCCAAATGGGCCTCTTGGTGATTTTGGGGTTTCAGAATTTGGGCACAGCACAACACAAAACAAACAAATCTTGAAGCGGGAAAGAAAGGCACCATATGTACTCTTCCCTCCATGTTTCATGTTAGGAACTTTTCTTGCATTTCCTCTCAGATGATCCCCTTGACTAACTCACCAGTCACAGCTGCAGGAGGTCACGCCTTCCCCTGCTCCCCAGCCCCACCCCTTTGCTCCTGCCCTCTAGCCTGATCTCCTGGGAGGTTTTTCCTGCTCATGGAGCTTACTCAGCACACTCTGGCCTTAGGGCTTCACACTTGTCAGTCTTTTTGCCTGGAATCTTCTTTTTGTGGATCTTGGGGCCTGAGTTTTCATCTAGCAGAGCTCTCTAAATACCATCCCATCATGATCACCCACTTAAAACGTTGTCATTTCTCTCTCCATCCTGGGCCTCTATTCTAAGGGCTTGCTTCATTTTTCCACATTGGGTTATAGTGTCTGAAATTGCCTCATTTGTTTCAATGTCGTCTGCTTCCCCTAGACTTTTCCTCTGTTTTGTTCACAGTCACCTCTCGAGCATGTAGAGGGATGACTGGCCCTGAAAGAGATTCTGAGCAGTGTTTGCTAAAAGAATGGAAAGATTACACATGCTATAACTCTAGCAAGTCGAGTTCACGGTGTTGACAAGGGTCAGTTACCTCCTGCTAAAGATCCCCAGGGACACAACTGTACTGCTCATTGTCACATATATGTGCACACACGCATACACACACACACACACACACACACACACACACACACACACACACACACACCATGCACGGACAGCCATCCATAAGAGCTTGTGAAGAGAGAACTCACTCAAATTTTAGGTTTTTAGTAGGTCATTTTGCTGGGATTTAGGAAACAGGATTTTTGTTTTATTTTAATTTTTTGGGTTGGATATTGTCAGGTATCGGGGGCAATCCCAAGGATGTTCTGAATATTCCTTCTAAGTAGGTCAGGAAGTCTAGACCTAGAAACAAATTATTAGCAGTTGTTAAGGTGGCAGCAGCTGCTCAGAGTGCCAGGACAGGGCATGCTCTCTGTTCATGCAGTGTCTCATGGGCAGTACTTGGACAAAATTACTTCCAGGTCTTGGTTTGTATCTCTTATCTTCAGTTAGAATGGCCTGGGGTGGTATTGCTGCTCTGTACCATCATACCGGGCAGGTACTACAAAGGATGTGCTGGGGGTGTTGGGCCAGTTTCTGAATCTCATGGTCTGCTTTCACTGTTCTTACAGGTGTCACAGGAATGAAGCCCAGTGTCAGAGACCATAGACCTAAGGAGTAGCAATTCTTTGGGCTCTCTGGTAGAACCACTCCTCTAATGTATGATTTGTTTAGGGGTGGCCACTGAACAAGACAGAAGAGGGAGGCCAAGGTGAAAACAAGTACAAGGTGGTTCGATCTCTAAGTGGGGGTGTTAGTTTGGAAGGCTGTGGGACCTTTTTGGGGTGGAGACTTCCCAGAGGAAGTGGGTCACTGGGTGTGGCCCTGAGGTATGCTACAACCCAACCTCTTTTCCTGTCTGCTCTCTGCTGACCCAGTGAGACCAGCTGCCTGAGGCAGGAGCTTAGTTCACAATAGGCCAAAGGGAAAAGGGTTCATGTTGTAAACTTCAAGTTACTCACACACGTTACAGTGGGATTGGATGTCAGAGTTCAAATAGAATTCTGGGTTTACAACAGAAAGTCCAGAAGCACTGAGGGTGATACAAGGACACTTGGAGCTAGGTACAGGACAGGCAACAGGACTTGATAAGACTCAAGGCAGACAAGCCACGAGAAACAAGACCAGCATTGGTAAACTGGCCTGGTAGCTTCCACAAGACCCCAGACCATCTGGTAGACAAGAGATAGCTGAGACCCTGCTGCCATTTCTTGGTAGCTGTGATGACGAAGGGACTTTAGAATAATGAACAGCATTTAGGACACAGGCCATGGGTAATACTGAGACCTCTACTTTCCCCTTTTACTAAATATATCTTGGGAGCCAGTCTCATTTTTCCTTAATTTCTTACTGTTCTGTAAATCTCTTAATGAAGTTTACCTTCTCACTTTTACAAGTGTCTGCATCTTTAATCTTTATTGGCATAAGACCATGAACTTGGACTCACTGCCTCAGGTTGATATTTGGTGATGCTAAGTGTCTGGTACCTCAGGACCCCGGGTCAAGCCCAACTGGCTGAGAAAGGCTTTTGCTTGTAAGGCCTATAACTGTCTCATGTGCTCCTACCACCATCTCTTCCTCAACAAAATGGACTATATTCCTATCTAACCATCAGCCAGAACAAAACCTTGGTTTCTTAAGTTGCTTCTTAAGAACTTGGGGGACGACTGGGTTTTCTAGGTGATGAGGTTTTCTAGTCACAATGACTAGAAAAGAAAGTAAGACATAGCTCCTCTAGAAGTCAACTGAAAAGTGCCCCTATTTTGTTCAAGAATAAACAGCATCTCATTGCCACGTCACAGATACCTAAGTTTCAAATGGAGGATGCAGTATCTCTCATATCCTGAATAACAGGATTCCCAAGTGCAGGGCCATGTTTAGAAGTCTGCCTGAGCTTTGGATCTATACACTTCCCCCAGACACCTTTAGTTTTAAGCTTTTCCTCCCTGTATCCCTCTGTTGGTGTCCCTGTTGTACTGTAGCTAATTTGTTTATAATCATACCTCTGAGAAGACTGTCTCCCTCATGTTTGTAACCCCAGAACTGAGCAAAGAGCTTGGCACAGCCTGGGCTCTCTATAAATACCAAACAAGTTTAAAATGGAGCTATTTCCTGGCTTGAGTTCACCTCTCAATGAGTTTATTGATTCTGCATTGTGAGCCAGGAGGACAGTAAGAAACAGGGGAATTTGTATTTCTGCTCAATAGTCTAAGTTTCATAATAGCAGCTGGTGTTGACTGAGCACAGGCGTTGAGCCAGTAGTTTACACACATCAGTGATTCTGTGTCTCCATCTTGCTCCTGAAATCACACAGCTGTGAGAGTGTAGAGCAGGGGTTGTGTGTGACCCCAGTTGCATGTGCTGAACGGTTAGGTTGAACCGGACCACTGACATGCGTAGCTCTGCCTTAAATCAGAAAGCAGGGTGAGACTTTAGTTACAGATCTGAGACATTGGTTTTGAGGAGAACATAAGTCTGACCAACCTGCGGTTGGGGGACGACTGGGTTTTCTAGGTGATGAGGTTATGGGGACAGAGAAGTCTCTACCATCTTCCAAAGCAAGAGAGAATTTGGTCTCGGCTTCAGATCTGAACATCTTTAGTCTGTCAACTACTTAGCTTTACTAGACAGACACCCACAGTACTCAAAACAGATGTTCCCTGTCACTTCCTCTCCTCTTCACATCCTGGGGACCGAGAGGGGACGAGAGTAAAGAAAGGAAAAGGCGAAGAGGGAGGAGGACGGGCTGGTGAGCACCTCAAGCTTGGTAATCTTGCTGCGGACCACGCCCTCGGCCTTGGCCTGGTACCCCAAACCCTACTTTAAACTCCCGCCCCCACTGAAGCACCACCAATGCCCGGCCGACGAGAGCCCAGGAGGCTGCGGATTGGTGGACACCTCGGTTGCTGCGGTGACGGGTGGGTCCGTGGGGGTCCCCGCTCAGGGAGGGGCTAGGGCTGTCCCTGGTCCCTGGCGCCGCCTCCGTCTGGGTCTCTGCCTCCAGGACCTGCGGCGGCGGTGAGGTCCAGAGCGCGGCTTCCCCGAGGGCGGGCAGCGTGATGGGTTGCGGGAACTCCACTGCCACCAGCGGGGGCGCGGGCCGAGGTAAGCGGGGCTGCGGGCCGTGGGTCCCGCGGGAGAGGCGGCTGCAGCGGGGGGCGCGCAATTCCCTTGCCCCATCCCATTTTCGAGACTGGAGCGTTTCGCTTGCTTCTGGAAAGACCGAGAGAAAGAGAGAGAGAGAGAGAGAGGGCGAGACGGCCCCGTGCGGGGGCGGTCACGCCCGAATTCACTCGGGAGGACTGTGGCCTGGGTCCTGCAGCCGGACTCTGCACCCTTCTGGGGACCAGAATTTCCCAGACATGTCTTGGGTCCCTCACCTCCCCTTCCACTGGCGCCCCTCCTGGCCTCGCCCCCGACCCCCTTGACTCCCAGACCCTGCACCTGGAAAAGTACTGCTGAGCAAGTCAGGACTTTTCTGGGGATGGGGGTGGGGCCGAGTGCCAGTGGGTGAGAACAGCAGCCCGCAGGGCTCCAGAAACGCATCGGCATGGGTCTGCTCACTTAAGACCCACCGGGCTGCGCGCTTAGGCTCTCATTGAGAAGCTGCGGTAGCTAGATGCTCAGATTCCCGTGGTAGAGCTTCGGCGCTGGCCTCTTTGTTGATGTATTTTCATTTAAAAATGTATCCAAACTTATCTGTGCACTGTTCCATTTCGTTGATTGGCATGGCAGGCAGGGTTTCTGGGCTTCCCTGACTAAGCCATACATTGTATCAAGTGGCTTACGGTAAGATTCAGGTCTTCTGATTAAACTAGCCAATGTTGGATTTGTTTGGGGTTGTTCTCTGCTGACGTATTTTAGTGTCTTTTTGGACAGGATTCCCTAGCTTCTCTAGCTGAGTTCAGTCATGCCACAGCCCACCTAACCAGCAAGTGCAAACAGTACTTTAATCCTGTAGTGCTTACCAAACTGATGCGGATGTCCTGCTGCTAATTAATGACTTTGAAGCCTTAGGTCCCTTAGCCAAGACCTTGAGGTTAGCAGTTGATTGTTTTCTGATTGAAGTACCCAGGTTTGAACCCCGGGCCTGATATTGCACATACTGGGCAGGACTGTATTCTCTGTATTGCCTTTTATTTTGAAACAGGGTCTCACTAAGTTGTCTCAGCTTGCCCTGAACTGGCTCTGCTAGCCAGGCTGGCCTTACTTGTAGTTCTCTCGGATCAGCCTCGCTATGAGCTGGGGCAAAAGGCCTGCATTAGTAAGTGTGGCTAAACGTTTAACGTTCGTTCGATGGAAATCTGTCCAGATCATTGGCCAAATTTGGTCTTTTTTTGGCTGTCAGTGTCATACTTGTGGACTAATACTATTTCAAGAGTTACATCTGAAACACCTGGAAGTCTAGGCCCAGGCAAAGTTTATCTGCCCCATGTGACCTTCACTGTCTTGAACGAAGGTCTATCTTTGTGCTATGTAGACAGCCACTGGGAAGCAAAGCTTTTAGGATTCATATAGCAGTGACTCAGCTTAGTTAGTATCTTATGCAAATGAACACAAGATCAGGATTTAAGTTGACAGGGCTTGTTCCTTTGCAAGGTGGAAATCAGGAAAGTGTCAGAGCCTCAACAATTTGTGTCCAGGTCCCAGGTTCTGTGGTTTCATGTAAACCTATTGCGCATGTGCTAGGCTGAAAAAAAAAAAGGTTGAGAATGTTAACAAAACAAAAAATTGGAAGAAGGATCCATAACAGATTTCCATAAAAGTGGAGCAATTTTAGTGCATTTACATTTTTTAAAGAATTTAGTTTTATTTTTATTCTTGTGTGTGTCTGTGTGTATGTATGCCATGTGCATGTAGGTGCCCGAGAATGCCACAAGAGGGCACCATATTCCCTGGAGCCTTAGTTACAAGCTGTTGGGATCCTCTGTGTTGATGCCGGGAACCAAACTTGGGTCCTCTGCAAGAGCAGCAAATGCTCCTAACTGCTCTGTGCTTTTACATTTTTGTTAACAGATACCTTATCAAATTTGGGGGGTAGAGGGAGAAGTACCATTGTTAAGTAAAGATAGGAACAATGATTGGGTAGTTCTGAAATGTTAATGTACAAATTGCGTTTCAGTGGTAGCTTGACCAACCAGTCTAGAAATTGTATTTAGGGCTGGAGATGTAGTTCAGTTGATAGAGTGCCTGACTAGCATACTCAAAGCCCTGGGGTCCATCTCCAGTGCACAATTAACGGGGTGTGGGTATGTGTCTGTGATCAGGCAGGAGGCTCAGAAGAACAAGGCTAACCTCAGTTGTTCCTCACTTCATAGTAAGTTCAAGCTATTTTAAAACAAACAAACAAACAAACAAACAAAGTCATGTTTCTTCTGTCAGTGTTGTGATCTGTGCCTGCAATCCTACACTCAGGAGACAGGCAGGAGATTTATTTCAAGTTCATGGCCAGCCTGGTCTGTATCGGGAGTTCCAGGCTAGCCATAACTGTATCTTTTTTTATTTTTTCCCCAGGGCTGAGGACCGAACCCAGGGCCTTGCGCTTGCTAGTCAAGCGCTCTACCACTGAGCTAAATCCCCAACCCCTTAACTGTATCTTAAGAAAAAAAAATCCTATTTTTTTTGGGGGGGGGATGATTCTCCTTACAAATATTTGATTGGTTTTCTTTCTTTTTTTTTTTTTTCTGGAGTAGATCTCTCATTGGTTGAAGGGAAATATGGTTAGTTACATTGAAGGAAAATCCCTCAAAGTGCACATCCTCAATGATCACTTTTGTTTGTGAAGGATGAGCATTTGAGAGCAATGTGTTCCCTGACTTGCTTTTTGACGAAATTGTTTTCTGAGAGAGCAGGGTAGGGCGTACATGCTGTACACCAGGAGGAGAAGGCACTGCGTGTGGGCGTGTCTGCATCATCTCTGACTAGACTCAGGCCCTGGCTTTGAGAAGTTGTTCCCAAATAGTCCCCAGCCTGTGTGTTCAGCTGGCTGGCTTCAGGATTTGGTCATTGTTATTTTCTGTCTGTCAGCTGGTGGTAGGAATTTTAGTTTCTGAAAGGGAATGCATCAAGATGAGAACTAGAAGGGCAAGAAAGGAATGCCCTAACACGAAGATAAATCTGTCCCAACTGTGAGCTGTGACTTTGATGTCACAATCTCTAATGACCAGGCTGCAAACCTGATGTTGTCCCAGGCCTCTAGGTATGAGCAGAGCACAGCTTCTGAGATGTCTTAGAAATTCTGCTTTCAATATTTCATTCTTTTCAGTAGCCACACTGAAAAAAGTTAAATAATTAAAAAGGCAAAGAGAGGTGAAGGAGCGCCGGTGACCTTGAACTGGGAGTTGAGGCTCACACTTGGCTTTGATGCTGCTCCTGGCTGTGTTTCTGGCTCTGTTGCTGTGGGCATTTCACTTTGTTTTCTGAGCTCTGGTTCCTTTATCTTGTGGGGGCTGTTTTATATTGTGGGGGATAATTGGATGTACCCTGTTTCCTAGGGCCATCGAGAAACTCCAAATCAGATGATGAAGGGGAACACTATGTAAAATGACATTACCATACTGCAGTAAAAAGTTATTAGTATGTTGAAAAGAAGATAGCTTCTGTAATAGTTTTCTACAAGAAAATGGCAAATCTACTTTGTCTCAACAGGCTTGATATCACCATTATAAATGCTTCTTTTATTTATTTATTTTTTTGAGACAGTCTCACCATGTATCTCTCTGGCTTACTTGAAACTTGCTATGTAGAGTAGGCTAACCTCAAACAAACAAGAAAACCCATTTTATTCCCCTACATATTCAGGCAAATCCAGATAATTAATTCTCTTTTTTCTCACCTATCTGGACCATCGCCTTTCTTGGCTGTAGCCTAGTGAACTTGGCTAATATGACAGATTGATATGCAGCCGTGGGCTTTAGTCCATGTGATTCTATATACCACGTTGGTGGAGAAGCTGGAGTAAATGGTCTCACGGCCATGAGAAGAAAACACATTGCAGCCTCTCCACTGTTCAGGTTCCCTTGTGCCTTGACCTCGAGCTTATTCGTGGTCCACGAGTCTGTGCAGAACACTCTGCACAGACTTTAAGGCAAGGGTTGGGCAGTCAGCAAGAGAGGACTGGAGAATGGAGCCGAGCTTTCAGGCTGTTGAGAGGCTAAACACGGAGGCCTAGAGCGATTGCTGTGCAGTGTACAGTAGAATCACCAAGAGCATCCAAGTGACAGGACTCACCAGAGAGGGCTTCCTGGATGGAGATGTGAGACGCTTGAGTCTGGAAGAGCTCTCCATTTTTTGTTGGGTTTTCTTTTTCATTTTTTGATTTTAGTGCTGTTTATCTAACTCGGGGTCTTGTCTGTGTGTACATGTTAGGCCAGCACTGTACCACTACATCATGGAGTCATCTCCAGTTCATCTCGCTATCTATTTAATTTTGGAACTCTTGATCCTCTTGCCTTAGTCTCCACTTGCTGAGTTCCAGAATTTTCCCATCACTCTCAGGCATAGCTCATTTTAATGTTTTGGTAAGAGCACTTTTCTCCCTGCAGGAATTCGATTTTTCCCAGACTCAGGGTTATAGAAGGTGGCCGCTTGTGTTTTCCATGTTGTGATGTTTTAGCACATTTCTCCAGAGAAACCGCTATATAAAGTGGTCTGGCTGGAGGTGTTTGGTGTCCCTTTCCAAGCAGCTGGGAACTCCTTCTGCATGCTTGTCCTCCAGCTCTTCCTTCAGGAGGCAAAGACTGAAGTCCGGGGGTTACTTAGCCTCTTAAAAAAAAAAAAAAATTATGGAGAGGGCCAGGCTCAGAGGCTGAGGTAGATGGATATGGGTGACTTTGAGGCTAGTCTGGGCTATATAGAAGGTTCTAGGCTAGCCCAGGATTATATAGTAAGATCTTGTCTCCAAATTAAATAAATAAATGAAATAAAAAGAAAAAAATTCACACAGAGGGCTGGGGATTTGTTTCAGCCTGTAAAATGCTTGCTTTGCAATCCCTGGAACCTGAGTTTGATCCTCAGAACACATGTAAAGAAAGCTAAAGAGTGCTGGTATACATGGTCCCTGAGCTGGGGGAACTGCCTGAGGTTGACATCCGACCCCCACATGC